TTTTTGTCTAACAAACGGTGCTTCGTTGAGCTTCAGATAAACCTATTATTTATCATAATAATATTTATTAATATATCCATAAGTAAATACATCCATTGATCTGTGGATTAGCAAACTAAGGGAAGGGATTGGAGTCCAATGTACTGTTTCACTGAGTTATCGCAGTGGTTAACGATTTATTTACCAGGCAATTAAAAGCAAAAAAAAGTGTGATGACACAATATTACAACAACATCAAAAAGAAATCAGTAAGAGAAGGGGAGAGAACAGAGGCTTCCTGGACAACCAAAACAAGTTATATCAGTAAACCAAAAGGGTTCGCACAGCTCTCGACTTTTATTAACCTTTCAGTGTTGTTAGCAAATAAGGAGAGGAGAAAAACATCAATTCGAATAAAAGTATTGGATCTCGATTTTTATTATCTTATACTTATTTTTTTTCAAAAGAGTAATTAACCGTAGTAAGAGTTCCTACGTACCCGGGGTGAATTAAAGAAGGAAAGAAGGACAAAGTCCTACATGAAATAAGCAACAGTGAGCGATTGCTTCGGGTTACATGGCTCACCCAGTTGCTTCGCAGCCTTTGCTACTTGCTCCCGTCACCATGCACGCTGCGAGAGCTTTAGCGGACCTCGTTGCTACCCTTGGCAGACTTCACGTGGGGCTCTTCGTCTGTCGTTTTCGATATCACGTTGCCATCGATGTCGATATTGTCGCACATACGGACGTTTGGCAGTAACATGGTCAGCGGGATGATCAGGAGCGGTAAGAGGATGTGACCGACAATGACAAGCCACGGGCCATTTTTGAAGTCGCACGGCGGAACACTTCTGATGGGCCACACATACTCCATCAGAATGGCACCTATCGAAGTGCTGGTGGCCTGACCGAGGTTGTTGGAAGCAGCTAGGAGCGCATACACCGTGCTTTCGGAGCCTCGCGGACACAAACGCGACACCAGTACCATGATTGGCATCCATGAAAGCTTGAAGCGCACATTTCCAATGATGGCGTCACCACAAACGTACATGACGTGATCGGGGATGCCGATTTTTATATTCCAACGTTTAAGCATGATAATGTCGAAGACGGAGGCAAACATCCATAGAAACGTTGTTACAACTAGGCATAGACGGTATTTCCACCTCGAGAAAATATAATGGAACGCCATGACACCGACTAAACCAGCCAGGTTACCGATGATGCCAACGGCAATAGTATTGTAGAAAGTATTTGAGAAGTGCGGCCCGTCATGCAGGCAATTTTCTTTAGCGAGGTAAAAACTGTCCAGCAGACCAGGTAGCTGTATGTAGAGCACAAAATTAAGATAAATCATGACGCTGGCCTTAGCAATAATGAGCGGCAGTGACCAAAAGGATATCACAGAGCACACTAGTGACACCACTACGCAGATAACAAGCAACCCTAGCTTACCTGCGAAGAGGTTGCCGAGAGCCATGATTACGGCCGCGGCTGTCATGATAACGCTGTGTGTAACAATCCTCTTGTTCCGCATGACGACCTCCTTGTTGATCTCTACAAGTCCACAGCAACCGATGATCGGCTGCGGCAGCAGAAGCTCTGGGCTCACCTCCAGCTGTAGAGCCTTTCCCTGATCTACATCAAGACTGCCTTCCTTCCCCTTCTTACGGCATAGAGCTTTCCCCTTCTCGAGCTCCAGGAGCAACTCCTTGTGCATAATACGTGCATCCTCAATGCGCTCCTCACGGTTCGTCTTCTCGCCGTACAGGTTGAAGAGGTAAATCAAAGATGCAAGTAGCTGCAACCCAGCGGCGATGAACACACCGACTTGCGGCATCTTAAGATCGGATAACGGGCCCTGGAAAATAGAAGCCAGAAAACCCCCAATGGTCACGATCCACCAAACCCAGCTCACCAGCGCTGCCCCAGACTCGGGGATCCTACGCATAAAACGGCTGTAATAGCCTTCGGAAAGAATGTCCACAGTGGCAATACCAAAGTTACTTAGAGAAGCAAAAGCAGTAGCAAAATCAGCGGATGACGGCTTGGCTGGCAACAGACCGTAGAGCAGCGCGAAGACACTGCCCACCACACACGAGGCAAACATGTACCAGCGCTTTGTATAACCGAGGAAAGCGAATGTATCGGATAGCATGGCAGTAAAGGCCTTCATGGCCCAAGCAAGCTTCATAACGGCTAAGAGACGCTGGTAACGGGTTGCATCTATCCCAAAACGTGTTTGAAGCATAGGGTAGAAAGAGAAAGTAAAAATATTATAAGTGATGCCCTTGCAGAGCAAGTAGGAGAGGGCGAGGCTGATGGTACACGCGGGGCCGTATGCCTCACAGGTCTCCCCGAAGATGGGAATGCGGCGTAGCACCGGTGCGTGATCGAAGAGGCGCTTCGCGCCGGGGTGGAGAGGAACGCTGGCGTCATCCTTGGCGGAACTGAAGGTGCAGTCAGGCTGCCGATCCGCTTCCTCGGCGCCGTAGGGGTGAGGGGTGCCCGCGTTCCTCGCGATTGGACCCATCGTGGAGTGATTGATTGCTTCTGGGGCTCACCTAAAAAGGAACAGACCTCTTGACCTGATGGCAGCGGTGGTGCGCAGCAGTCGCTTGTTGGCTTCCTTTCAGATGGCTTTGTGGCTTCTCACGTGCGTCAACCTATTCGATGTCGCGGTGGGCAGCAAGAGAGAAGTGTATGGGTGTATCAGTATGTCTGTTGAGAGACTTAGCTAAAGACAGTGTGGGGAGAGACAAGGGAAAGAAGGCACTAAATTAGCGGTGAACCGAAAAGACCAGGAATGCGAAGCCCTTACCATGCTCAGAATGACGCTTAAGAACATAATTTAACTGCTGTAAGCCCCAGAAGGGGTGTGCTACAGTGGGAGAGGATCTGAAGAGGAATTGTTAGTGCGCCAACGAATTTTTACGAAGAGATAG